TTAGTCAAAGCTGAAGCTTTCATGAAAAAGAAGAAAACGAAGACAAGAAGAATGGGATAAGGTTGAGGAAGAAAACAAGTAGTTAGATGTCCTTTCCCCCCCTTCCTCCCTCTCTCCCTCTCTCTCACACACACGGCTATAAAAAGAGGGCTTGGGCATTCATTAGAGGAAAAAAGAGAGAGAACATCAATAGAACATATTTTGTAACCAAGAATCAGCTTCAAATGCTTTAGTCTTTTATTTTCTTTCTAGTTAGTTTAATTTCTACAATATTTTATTTTTTGTTCGTCATGTGGGATCTGACCACAGTGGCAAGTTTACGCTTAATTTGCAATTTGTATTTGAGTATTTATGTTCTTCCATTATGTATTTACTTATAAGCAGTAGCTAACCCCCTTTTGGTTGTGAGTGTAAGCCAAACCCGAGAGGTCAAAATGTAACATTTGGGTGTTACCACTTTTAGCCAACTCTTCAGTTTGGTCGTTCAAGTTGAAACTTTAACTAAACATGGACAAGCTGATTAGTTGGAAGTGTTAATATATTATATGTTTGACTCAGAGATGGGCGGATTTAAAAATACAGCTTGAATGATGCAAGGAGGTTTGAGAAAATCTTTAATAATCTCATAGAGATATGGGTTTTTACATAACCAGACTAAGGCTCAGATGTCGATCGAGTTGGTGTGTCATAGAGATATACGCATCTCTCCATACTGGCGGAACTAAGACCTTCGAGATCTACTTAGTACAGTTGACAAATAGAAATTTAGCATTGTGGAAACTTTATGGGAAAACCGTAATTGCAACCCATACGACATAGCTTCGAGAGGAGGAAATCGAATGGGATTTTTTGTGACCGGTTTTATCAACCATTTAAGTTACTATTATACTCTCATGCAAAATTTACATCCATACTCTCTTTTTATTAATTTTTATTTTTTAAGATATCAATATTCTACCCAAAACAAATCATTTTATAAACTCTAACTTTGCATCGGAAATTCGTAAAAATTTTAAATTCTTAGTAGACTGGTCTCTGTGGAAAACGATCTTTGGAACTTACCATTATATTACTTGAAAAAGCGAACTCAATAGTGGTGTGCACTTGCACCACTATTGTGCCACGATTCACGTATGTCATTTTTGCTATCTATAACTGGTATTTATTTATAATTAGTATTTATTTACCATTAATAATAATAATTAATATTAATCAGGGTTATATATAATTGGAAAAAAAAAAAGTGTCAAAAAGCTCCTCAAATGCTACTCCAAGTAGTTTATCTATAAATTAGCTTATAAACCAACTTACAGGTTAGTTTATGTGCATTCTAACGATTACTCAAAAATTAAGCTAGCTTATCTTTGCCAAATAATGTCTAAACCCTATCACCACCACCCCAACTTAAATCACTACGCCATTCATTGACCCCATCGCCCTAGTCGCCCATGGTCATTGCCCTTGCCCCATTCAACTATGTCGCTATCATTGCTGCCCCCAACCATCTCTGGTTCAATTATATGTTTGTTTGCTCCTATCTCATACATGACATTGGGAAAAAAAAAAAAAAATTAATGAAATCATATAATGTTTCTTTGTTGAGATTTATCAGGCTCAGTTATCTGTTCCTACTTCCTTCCTTCTCACATTAGTAACCAATTAGTTTCTAATTTGTGCTGGCCGATGAAAGCTTGTGTGAACAACGTATCTACTTTCTAATTATCTTGTTTTCTTGAATTGTGGATTCATGCAACTTGAGTGTCGCAACCATGTCTGATTCTCTAGACTTTGGAAATACAACTGAAGTTGGAATTATGAGGCACTACCTCCATCTTATGTAAGACTCATATGGACAAATTGTGTCCAGATAAACTTTATAAGAAGGATACAAATCAGCTAATATAATAATGGTGAGTACATCATCTTATAGTTAACGAAACTTACTAGATAAATTTTACTTCACCCCCGCCCCAACATAACAATATATATGAAGGGATGGTTTATGTTGCACATGGACGAACCCAGTGTAGAGCATACGATGACATGTGTTACCGTTTCGCTCGTCCCTCGTAGTGTAAAAAATTATAGGGTCGTGAAAGTGTCATATATATATATATATATATATATTGAAACTACAATAATGACACAAGTTTCCCTTGCTAGAATTTGTTTGCAAGACTTTTCTTCCACCCCAAATCCAAGTTCGAATCTTGTTGGTGTCATTTTCTTAGTTTTTAACTTTTAATTCTAGATTTATTATGTTTCTGGAAAAAAAATTGCAGTAAATTACTTGAATACATGGACGAACCCATTCTAGAGCATAAGATGACATGTGTTACCGTTTCCTTCCTCCATCGTCGTGTAAAAAGTTATAGGGTCGTGAAAGTGTCCCACATATATTTTGAAACTACAATGAGGTCACACGTTTTCCTTGTTAGAATTTGTTTGCAATACTTTTCTTCCATCCCAAGCCCAAGTTCAAATCTTGTTAATGTCATGTTTTTAGTTTTTAGCTTTTAATTTCAAATTTACTATGTTTTTGGAGAAAAATGCAATAAAAGACTTGAACACATGACCTAACATATGAAAAACAATGAACTAACCAACAAACCAATGATGATTTTATGATAAATATCCCTATATTTATTTCTTATAGTCAAATGGTGCCACTATGGGTCCGTCCCTAATGATGCAGACAATTTAGGTCATGAAATTTGAAGAAGCTAACAAAATCATATAGCTCTAAAAGTATGCTTGTTCTTGAAGTATGATAGCTT